CCCTCGACGGTCGTCATCCCCCGCGCGCGCCGCCCCCGTTCCGAGCTTCCGAGCGTACGTACTCGCACCCGATGTCATTTACTATTCGCCGGGTAAGATTACAGCCATGCTCGGTCTCTATCGCACGTGCAATTTTCCACGAGGTCCATCTCTGTCGCACGTGCGCCAGCTTTAACACGGTCGGTCGGATGGTCGTTCAGTCGGGACTCGTTAAAATACAGTAGCGTAACATAAAAAAATATATTGGAGCCCGGCCGCCGTTTGCCGCCACTGCCAACAATGCTGGCCGCTGCATTTTAACTGCCACCGCCGCCGCCTCCGTCCCCCATCACAACCGCCTCTCATCCCTTTTTTTTTGCTATCCTCATCTCGAAACAAAATAAAAATACAAAACAAATGCACCCCCTACTTTCTATATATATATATAAGTACGTCACCTATATCAATAGATATTAAAAATACAGAATAACCCTATTGAAGTTTAGCTAAAATGTGTAGCTTCTGTTTATTAAATTTATTACAAATTACAAGAAATTCAATATTATTTTGCAGCGATTAAAATGTTTTTTTCATATTTTACACTTTTCGTTTGTAAATATTTTTGTTATTCTATAATTGTTGCAAAAATATTGTTATTGAGCCGAAAATAATTTTATTTTAAATAATCTTTTCCCAACTAGAAATACTGAAACTTTACTTTAAGAATCAAAATCTACAAAATTAATCTCAATTCTTAATATATGTAACGTCAAACTATTAATTCATAAAAGAAGCATTAGTGTAACAAAAAAATACTTGTTGGGATACCACAAATTATATAAGTAATTAAGATATTAAACGAATGAATGAATGATTAGATTTTGACATATTATGTGTAAGGGTTAAAATTATTTCAAATTAATAAATACCGGAAATCGTTGTTACTTTATTGATTGACTTTCTCCAAGTGGTAAAAATATAAATTACGCATTTACCTCGCACTGCTTTGAATTAATGCTTTCCGTAATTGCATAGGGGCCAATCATTATTTACGCTATCGAACGTTTCCAGCATTATTTCTCTTTTTTTTTTGCAATCGCATTAATATTATTGCATAACTCATTGTTGGTTGTGCGCACGAACGCCGGCCGATATTTATTAATTGCACATTAAAAAAATATTTCAACAAATTTGATAATGCATAAATGATGAAATGTTTATTTTATGTTAATTAAATATGCAGGCATGAAAAGACCAAATTTTTATATCACTCAGTTTTTAGTGTGAATTATGTGCATCTGTATACGTCAATTGTTCATTAATCAATATTGAACAAATTTGCAATTATTAATATAAGTATACAGATTAAAATAAAAACTATTTTTGTCTTTAAAATCTGTATCTATTCTATAAGATGTATATCATGTATCTTGTCCAATCATTAACATCTATTCTCTTCTATTTTGTTTATAATATGTCCCAGAATATTCATCCTTGCAACTCTATATATGTTCATTCTATTTCAGCAAATACTTTCTGCTATTTGAAGCAACTAAAATATAAACTTGTTATAAGGCGATCAACCAATGTTTTTTCAAAGTTCTTAATAATATTATGCAATTTGAGTGTTTATTTATATTTATTGATCTATAACTAATATAACTTTGGCATAATTAGAGTGAGAGAGGAAGAAAGAAAAAAAATTAGAAGAAGTTCCGAAAAAAAAATGCGGCGGTCTCTCTAGCTTTAATGGCGTTTAAAGGGGATGGATCCTAGAAACGGTATTGCGTTTATTTGCAGCAGGAATGGAATAGTCTTCAGGATGTAGGTGTTGCAGATTGTAATGATTCATTTGAGTATAGTTTGAGAGGTGTACGAAGATGGGTTTCCAAGATATTCAACATTTTCTATACACTTTTTTCGCTTGGTACGCTACTGGAGTTGAGGTCGGTGGTGGTGTTTGTGTGCTGCGGCGTGTATGTGTGTGGGTGGGTGTGCGCGTTCATTCCCGTTGGCACGTTACGGTGGCGGCGGAGGAGTAGGAGGAGGTGGCGGCGGCGTCAGAGGCGGTAGATATCGAGAACACGCGCCGTCCTGCTGAAATATTAAGTTATAAACGATGCCTCTCGATTGCGGACAGCCCTCATGCCACCTCCGAACGCTGCAGGAAATCTACCCACATACACCCGCACATACTCGCGCACTCACACACATACATACTCATACCACCATGGTCTATGGGGGTGGGCCATAACTATTCCCGTGCTTAAATCTTCCTCGCCTCGAATTTGCCCCCAACAACCTGTGCACACGCACAATACGCTATTTGAATAATATATTCACACACCCACCCACACACAAACACTCACACGCGCGCTTGGTTCCCCGTCGTCGGTTCTCTTTGCCTATTTAATAATTCCTTTATATTGATTACTAATCACACTACATATTAACTTCCTCCACCAAACATGTAGAGGTCCATGCTATTAACGCTTCAGAATAAAAAATATAGCAAATAAAGCAGACGGTTACTAATTGGCAATCATTTAAAGTTCAAAATATTTCATTCGCAACTGTTGGATTACATTCATGAAAACTATATAAAGTATGTTGGGTGCGTTCTGAGTTTATAAGAACATCTATAGTATGTCTAATATTCTATGCTGCATCTGCATTATACGTAACATGAGACATAAATGTCTGTCTACATGTGTGCCTACAAATATCCACTACGCAATGTAATGTGTAACTGTTTATCATTGGCTCCCGTTAATATAAATAATATAAATGAAACTAATATAGTAGTTACAATTATACACTGTGCAGCTGAATGAAATAATTTAAATAAATTTATATTCAGTTTCTGCCTTTTTTAAATCCTTTTTCAGATTTTTAACATCTTTATACTTACGATGATATTTCTTTCAGATCAAGCATGTTGTGGATTTTTCAGACGTTTGTAACCACATCATAGTTATATTAGGTAACAGTACAGTGGAATCTCGCTTAACAAGTTTCCGGATTTTTACTCGTATAGTGAAACATATTAAAAATACACATAATATGTGTATACAAGTTTTAAAAATGATGTAGCAGGCGCGCAATCCAGGACTTTTCTTCTCATCGTCACTCGTTATGCGAAACATCGCTCGTTAAGCGAGTCATTTTTTTTACAATTCATTTTGCGAAATGCTCGTTATGCGAGGTGCACTGTATATATCAGCAATAAAATTATCCTCCAATAATCGGCTTAAGAAAATCTGAACTGTAACTTTCAGTTTATTTATTTATACATTTTAAATGGACCTAATGTGGACCAATGTCTTTCTGCCTATTTTTTCATAATTTCGAAAAATATTAACTGTAATTGTATATATAATATTCGGGTTTCATGTTAATGTATAATAAGGATTCAAAAAAATTCGAAAAATTGACTTAATATTCAATATTTGTAACTCAACATTTCTTCGTTTTTCATTGATTGTTATATTTTCAAAATATAGCAAATATCTCAAACATATATTAATAATTCTATAATATAATCAATAAGTATTTAATATATAGCAATTAATAGGAATTAATAGGAATTCAAGGAACTTATGGTTAACATAGATTAAACAATGAGGGTTTTCTTAAACATTCAAAGTTATATTTTGTTCGTGTTATAAAAAGTAAATTAATTAAGAAATATAATTCTTCATGCAAAATATTGAAAAACTTATTTTATTCTTTTTTTTGTATAGAAATTGGTAAATATAATATCAATGAGAAAAAAATAGAATGTATTTATACGTTATCAAATTTGACACATATAAATTTATTGTATTATCTAAATTATATGTCTTTTTATAAATTTAATACACAATTGGTTCATTTTGAGTTATAAAAATTTCAAAAAATTTGTGTAACTTTTTTCTAATTCAAATACGATGTGAATCATACAATTATTAATTTTAATAATTAAATATAATTTACATTTTAAAATTAAAAGAAGAGTTATATTATATTAATGATGAGTATATATACAATTATTTACTTAATACTCAATAATAACATGATCAATAGATGTTACCAACAAACTTATTTGTATGTTATGCAACTTTATTTTCATATAATTTGTTGTAGAAAATATTCATTATTATTAATTAGCTTAAATTATAGCAATATTAATATATTTGTGATAATTTTATGTTGATCTTTATGTAGGATATTTCAATATTTTTAGAAATTGTAAGATAATGACGACACCTGGTTTGAGAAATGTAAACTAGTAAAATTCCTCTTTGACATATGGTTGGACATCTGTCAAATACCGTCAAAATATAAACAAAATTTGGGTAAAATGTTATTGTCAACAAATCAAGTTTATTGATATTATGGCATATTTTCATTATCGATGTGGGGAACGTATCACTTTACAAAATGAAAATTGCACAGCAGTCAGAAATGAATCTGACTTTGATCATGGCATGGTTTTAACTGCAGAACCATTGATGAATGATTTATTGTTTGAGATTAAAATTGACAAAAAAGTATGTGCAGTTGCTGTGTTGGTTGCATTTTAGAATGCTTTGTTTTAGGTGAATTCCTGGACAGGAAACTTGGAAATTGGTGTTACAGATATTGAGCCATTGAATTTGGAATTTCCCCATTGTGCATCAAAACTAGACCATGGATCATGGGTACGATAACTAAATTGTTTAAAAAATACCTAGTTAACATAGTTGTATATGCAGTTCCATATTATTATTAGCAACATGTTATTATAGAATAGTTTAGCACATATTATTTGATTCACTCTAATTGTAGATAAGTGATTTATAACACAAAAACTTACAACTGTAGTATTATATAAATAGACTTTTGAAGACATTTTATGCCTTGTTTGTTTTAATTTTTGTTTATTTAAATATTTTCAGATTATGTGTGGAAATTCAATAGTTAAAGATGGTTCAACAATTGTAGATCATTATGGTGTTGATTTGGATTCATTAAACCAAGATGATAGAGTTGGTTTAGTTAAAACATCAGAAGTAGATTTCAAATTATTTTTTACATTGTAAACATACTTACTTAACATAATATTTCAGGGTGATTTAATTTTTTATGTGAATGGTGAATCTTTGGGTGTTGCTGCAGAGGGATTACCACAGATAGTGTATGGGGTTGTTGATTTGTATGGGAAATGTGTGCAAGTTACAATAACTAGTCCCCTATTGCGAGAGCATAATAATGATGAATGCTTGAGTGGCAGTTCTGTTCTTGTAATAGACAATGACATATTAAATGTTACTTTGGGAGGTGATATAAGTGAATTGAGCTTAAGTAGTAGTAATAGTCTGGATATCAGAATGGATATGAACGTCAGGTGATGCTGTGAATTAGCTTCCATGTGGGCTAAGTTATTTAATAATTTAGTTATAGTTTAACATTGCCTGAAGAAGCACCACGACCTGACAAATTAAAGTTCCACGATAGATGCGGATCCTTAATCAAGTTGTCGAACGGTCAAAGAACAGGGGAGCGTCGAAGACCGCTAGATGAGTTCAACAATGGTGTTGTGATGACGCACCGACCGCTTATAGATGCGGAACTTTTTGAAATTCGTATAGACAGATTAGTTGACAAATGGAGCGGAAGCATTGAAGTAATTACATAACTAGTGCATGTTCCATACAGCTTTAATATTGCGCTTTTTAGATGGGAATAACTACTCACAATCCCTCGACATTAGTATTTCCGGCGACAATGACGAATATGCGAAGCGGGACTATTATGATGTCAGGTTGTGGGATTTTAACTAATGGCAAAGGAACAAGGAGAGAGTACGGCGATTTCAATTTAGATGAACTTAGAGAAGGCGATAGAGTAGGAATGATGCGGAAACCTGATGGTAACCTGCATTATTTTATAAATGGTTTGGATCAAGGTGTTGCTGCGGAGCGAGTACCAACCACCGTTTGGGGAGTTATCGATTTATATGGAATGACTATAAAGGTATAGTTCAAAATCGCTCGATAGTTTGTACTTCTTATTTGCATATATATCTCAGGTATCAATTGTGGAAAGAGATGAGAGAGAGGAGCAGAACTTGATGACCCGTCGCAATACAAAAGATCAACATTTTACTCTTGCAGAGCCCCATCCACCTACCGATTACTACGATAGATTGACATTCCATCCAAATTGTGGTACACATGCTCAAGTTATCAATAACGGTCGTACCGCTCATCGGCCTAACGCTGCTGATGATTTTAATAATGGCGTGGTACTTACATCTAGGTCAATAAAAGGTGGCGAAATGTTTGAGGTGCGTTTAGATAGAGTGGTAACTAAATGGGCGGGTTCAATAGAAATTGGTGTTACCACACATTCTCCAAATGATCTCGAATTTCCATTTACTATGACGAACGTCAGATCTGGGACTTGGATGATGACTGGTAGAAATTCATCTATGTTTTGACATTTCTAAATATTAATATATAATCGCATTTAGGTAGTGGAATTATGCATAATGGTACCACTGTATTAGAACAGTATGGTATGAATCTGGACAGATTGCAAGTTGGTGATAGGGTTGGTGTAGTAAGGAAAGAAAATGGACTATTGCATTTCTTTGTGAACGGGGTGGATCAGGGACCGGCCGCCTCTAATGTGCCTGAGAAAGTTTTTGGAGTCATTGATTTATATGGACAGGCTGTTGAGGCGACTATTGTCGATATTTTTGATTATGGATCTCCAGATACTATAAATTCTAGTCATTCGAATACGACCTTGTATAGGTATTTTACACGTTAGATTATACTTTTGAGAATAAAATAATAATTGTTTTACAGTGATTTAAGGTTCCATCATATACATGGTCGAAATGCAATGATAATCAATAATGGGTTAACAGCCTGGAGGCCTCAACCACTTGCTGAATTCAATGATGGTATTGTTTTTTCTAGTCGGCCATTAAGAGAAGGAGAATTGTTTGAAATATCTTTGGATAGTATGGTGGACAGATGGTCTGGAAGTATCGAATTAGGTATATTTTAGTCTTATAAATAATACATATTATATTTACTGATTAGTTATAATATAATTTTATAATATTTTATATAAATTATCTAATAGTGAACAATTCTATGCTGTTCAAATAATTGCTACAAAACGTTGTTATAGCATAAATAATATAAATATGTAATGTTAACAATAAATATTGATCATGCAATAGGTGTGACAGCAGTGCGACCAGATGATATAGATTTACCAAGCACTGCAACAGATTTGGCACGAGATACATGGATGTTGAGTGGATCGTCTGTGATGGAAAATGGGATAACAATAAAAAGCAATTATCCGTGCGATCTGGATAGATTAGGCGCGGGAACGAGAATCGGAGTTATGCAAACTCCAGAGAAAAATATTGAATTTTTCAAGGACGGAGTGACCCAAGTATTTAAAAGATTGCTCATTCATGTGCTCAATATTGACTACTCTTATTTTTCTTTTCTGTAGGGCATTGCATGCATGGTAACACATAGCAATTTATATGCTGTAGTTGACTTGTATGGACAATGCGCTCAAGTTAGTATTACATGTGAATCACCGATTGTCCCAATTCCAGCAATTCAGATGGAAAGTTGTCCAAGATCAGATACGTCGGCTTCATTGCAAGCAGTTAGTGTAGTTCAGCCACATATAGAGACTGATTTGCATAGGTATATATGAATGTTGAGAAAACTTTAAATATAATTTTGATATTTATTTCAGGTTTTCTGATTATCACTGTAAGGGCTTGACATTAGCAGAAGGTGGACGAATTGCTACGAGGTGTCGAGATGTTTTCCAGGCAGTGGCATACAGTGCAACATCGTTAACGCACGATGAATTATTTGAAATTTCTATTCAAACTATAATGGCTCACATTGCTGGGTCATTAATCATAGGTGTTACAGCTATGGCTCCGAATGGTAATATTCTAGGATTGCCTCCAGATTGTTGCTACTTGGCTGGTGAGTTTATTTATAACATTCATTTAATTTTGTGGTTCTAATTTATTTTATTTCAGGAAACGAACTCCATTACAAAAATCAAATAATTCAGCAATTTGCACCATCTCTCTTATGGCTCAGAGTTGGAGATCGTGTTGGGATATTAAGAACGCACGATGGAGGCATCAAAGCTTTCATCAATGGAGAAGAATTGTCGCTAATTTTTCCCACCTTTCCTGATAACTTATACATTTGTGTCGATTTAAGAGGCTCTTGTTCCTCTGTTTCTGTTTTGAGTAGGAGATTACCCTCTTCACCTCTCACTAGTATTCGTTTGCAAGATAGTTTAGAAATAGTTTTGGATCAAGAAACAGAAACTTGCGCTCCGCAAGAAGAAGCAACCATTCCGGAGGAGTACCAAGAAGCATTACCTCCTGTAAAGTATGAATTTCATGAAAATCACGGAAGGAACGTAGAAGTTGTCACTGAGAGGTATTTCTAATAGTATTTTGCTCATTTTTTTTATATAATTGTATATATTTTTGTTAAGAAATGTTGCGAGACGTGTTGCTTCCTATAACCAAGGTTTGGTAATTGTGCAACCTTGTTTAACTAACAACCAATCAATGTATGTCATCATTGAGCAAGTGGATAAAAAGTGGCAATCATCCTTGTTAGTAGGTGTTGTTTGTGGTTTACCTGAACGTTTTATTCTACCTGCGACAGCTTTGGCGTTTAAAGGTCCGTTTTGCATTGTTGCTAGTGATTGGATTTCATTAAATGGAATTAAGGTATTTATCATAAAGTTTTAAAATCAATTATTTGAGTGTGAGTTTATTTATAGAGTCGATCCAATTATGGTCAAAAATTGAATAATCTTAAAGTCGGCGATAAAGTAGGACTGATGTTACTTGAGAGTGGTATTCGATTGATCATAAATGATTGCGTTGAAGAAATTTTAACGTGGATACCACCAACTGGTCAAAATTGTTACGCAGTATTTGATATGTATGGTCAATGTCAACAAGTAAGGATTCTTATGCGATTTAATTGAATCCTTTTGTAGTAATTATTATTATTTAGATAAAAATTCTGAATGAAAATGAGGAAGTTAAACCTGTTAGAGGTGCAGGTTGTGAAAAAGCCGACTTAGAGTTGTGCGAGAAGGAGAGACCCGATGCAAATCTATCTTTACCGATTCCATCAGTGAGTACAGCGTCTATTGGCGGAGGAGCGAGTAGCCAAAGAATCTCACCAATAACTCCAATTAAACAATCTCCTTGCCAATATCAACAGGATTGCATCAAATTCAAAAAGTCGCTTTTACTTCCAGGTACTAATACTTTACAATTTTAAAGACAGCATTATTTTTTCTAATTTTTGTTATAGACGATTACTTTTTATCAGAGGACCCAATATGCTATTGCAATAATTGCTACAGGATTATATCTCAGGATGTAGATTCTTTGAAGGATGAATCTTTAATTGGTATATTATTAAATTGCATTTGTGTAACTAGTTAATATGTTTTTTTCTATTTAAAGGATGGGTTAAGTTTCCTTTGAAAAATATCCAAAATATACAAACAGATAAATGGCACACCGCGTATTATCCAACTAAACTTGGGACGATTCGCGGAATTCTCGATAAAGGGCAGCTCCTAACAAAAGGTTTGTGTAACCAAATTGTGTATGAAAATTAAAAAAAAAATGAATTATTTCAGAACAAATGTTGTATTCCAACTTGATTGGCCAACGATACGATGACGTCCACGTAGTATTTAGTCCGTCCCTTCAGCAGAGTTTGGAGGAACCATTCAGGTTGGATTCGGGAAGAGATGCTTTGGCCACATTTCAGTTGCTGGTAAAACCTGGTGCGTATTCAGTGGCCAGGGATTGTCCAGAATGGAGCACTAAAGAAACAGGTGCAATTTCACTTCATGCTCTTTTATTGCAATTGAAAATGGAATAGATATTTTACAATTGTATGCTCACTAATTTTAAAAAAATTCAACGCACGTATTTCAAAGCATTAAATCGTGGTATCCACTTTTATTGTATGAATAATAATTCATAATTGTGATTACAAGTACTCTCTTTATATCTTGTCTTTCTGACGCTTTCTCTCAAATTAATTATAATCTTTGTAATTTCACGAACCTAGTCAAAATATACAAATTAAAGAAGATACAAAATACATGCTGCATCAGTTATTTGTAGGAAGCCAAGTATTATAGGTATTAACTGCCATATATAAATATATAATGTGTTAATAACCAACATATTTTATTATAAATTATCTATAAATCTACGAAATAAATATTATATGATTCTAAAAGTTACATGATTGACTAGGCATATATAAAATGATATATAGTAGTATATCTGTATTATATAAAATAAATGATAAGTGTCACTACTTCTTTTAGAAATTAAGATTATCTTATTTAGCCCCAGACTCGAACGTGCTGATCCCAACTGCAGGTTGTAACTGCCATTCCGTTCGGCGCCACAGAAAGAGACGTAACTCTATTTTCGTGGCCATGCAATGTTCCTAAAATCAAGCACATTTCTATGCATCCTCTTTCAATTATACTCCATATCCTTTTTACCATTATGCTGAACTTTAAGTGTATCCCAAATGTGCACTTCATTGTCATCAGATCCGCATAAAATAAATCTTCCGCTCAAGGATAATCCGCAACTTGTGAATCCACTGTTTTTGTTTGGTGGTTCATATAACGCTATTTGTTGGTCACTTCGGATATCGAAAAGTCTGGCCGATTTATCCTCTGAGCCAGTGGCGAAAGCCTGACCGCTTGGATGATACTGAAATATTTGTATTAGTTATTTAAGTTTTTTTTTTTCTATTACGTAATTTAGAGCTTACGCAAACTGAATTTACATCGGCTGAGTGACCGAAGAAAGTTTGCTTCGGTTTATTTTCTCTAATGTCCCAAAGCCTGCAAGATTTATCTACGCTTCCGGTCACGTACGTCTTACCATCTGGAGATAAACTGATCGATACAACATCTCCGTTATGCGCTTGAAAGTCTGTTGTTTTTCTTCCAGTTTCCAGATCCCACATGCATCTAAATCATGCACCAAATATAGAAAACAGATATTTACAAATTGATAATAAACTAAAGTATTAATAAAAGGCTAAAACCAAATACATTTTCATATCGCCGGATCCGGTGAGGAGCGTTTTATCATCTAGGAATCTGCAAGAACTTAGAAAACCATCGTAGCCTGCCAATTCTCTGACCATCTTCGCTGCTCCCGAAGTATCTCTATTATTCACATCGTAAACAGTGCACATGTTGTCCATACCTCCGCACGCTAAAATAGCATATTGGTTACAGATGTTGCGGACGCTTTCTAATATTTATTTATGTTACCAACGAAGTTACCAGAAGGCGCAAATGCGACGCTCATAACCCATGCAGACCGCAGCGGTATTACTTGCACTTTGTTGCCGGTAAAGGTGTCCCAAATAATTAATTTGCCATCCAGTGAACCCGTCACGCAATGCTTGCTATCACCGCTGTAGTGGACAGAATTCACCTTGTTGATGTGACCCTTCAACATTTTCTTCGTTGATAGTTTTACTTTCGGAGGATCACTGACGCTACTGCACGTCTCCTGTAGCTTCACATCGGCTTGCTTTTCTTGCGATTCCTACCAAATAAATAACAATATTATATTATTAACTAATTAATTATTACGAAATAATTATTTGAAAATACGAATTACAATAAATTTGTTTATGAAATAAATTATATAATTTATATTATTAAAAATAAAGTATATATCTTGTAATTCTAAAATTTATAAATAATAAAAATAATTAGTACTTATTTAATATTGAAATGTTAGATGTTGAATATATTTTTTTGTTTTTTTTTCCTTAACAATGAAAATTGCCCGGCTAGCTCAGTCGGTAGAGCATGAGACTCTTAATCTCAGGGTCGTGGGTTCGAGCCCCACGTTGGGCGAAATATCTTTTGGAATCTTCTTAAGAACATTTTGGATTTGTAACTCTTAATATTAACAAATTAGTGTTTAGGAACAATTAAATACTTGATGGATAGGTATAAGAGTTAAATCTTAAAAAACTAAGTAATTTTTTTTTGAAAATAAATACTCACTTTTAAATTGTTATAAATATCTTCGAGCTCCTTCCTGAGCTCTTGCAGTTCGGGATCGCTTTTTGGTGGCATTTTAGCACAAAATAAAACGTATCCTAACAGCGACTCCTCGTTCTATACTAACGCATGTAAACTTAAAACGCTCGTCTCCTCTAATCTTATTACGACTAATTGAATTGTTATATGTCGATACCTTATAAGTATAATCGAATGCGGCCCTATCGATTGTTTGGCATACGCTTTTATCAGTGAATATTCGCTGCATGTTCATTAAAATCGTTATTAACATTATATCATGTTTATCGACGTTATTAATTTACATACTAATAAACAACAAAAAAAAAATCACAATAAAAAGGTTTCACGAATAATGATACAACCAACATTCATAATGCAGGCACGTTCCGTTTCTAACCAGTAAATCTTATTGTTCATTTCATACAATCGATTATGTAACACGTCGAAACCATAATTGAAGGTTGTTTGATTTCCGAGATAAATTGCAATGCAGATTGGGTTTTCTCGAAAACTCAAACTTGTTGCTTATGTAAGCTTGATGGAGGTTTTTTTTTATACCAGAAAAGTATTGCTGCGCAAACAATTAATATCGCTGCGATGTTCAAATTCGAAAGCAATCAGTTCGTTGTTACCGTGTACAGTTAATACTTATATATGAATACAAGGAAATTGAGCTGAACGCGTTCGGTTCTTTGTTTCTTTTTTGTTACTTGGTAGTTTTTGGGTCGGAGACTTTGTCTTCTTTTTTTCGATTTGGAGTTTTGCTTCGGATAATTTCACACTTACCGCTAATTTTTCGGTTCGCTGGGTGTAAAAGTGCGCCACCGAAGTTTAGAGACAGACATTTTCAGTTTAGATCTCGCACGATATGTACCTTATACTTCTTATTTTATCTTATTTATCATTGACGTTTTCCTCAGGTAAGATTCAAGTACTTGATTTTTATTTATAATTTTCTTATTTCGATATTTTCTAATTAACGTGTAAATTTCATTAATTTTGTGTTTTTAATTATAGACGTATCGATAGAAGGTGTTTGCGACTCAATTTCCTGCAATGATAAACCTAGAGAACTAAATTTATACAAATCAAATGGTAAGAATCCTTTAATACAATCTCATTTTACGTTATGTAAAAAAATAATTAAGGAAGCTTACGCCATATTTATAGATATAGTTAAATTATTACATTTTTTCTTGACATTTCTTTATTTTAAATTAATTAAATTTAGCTGATAATAGTAGCATGTATTAATATGTTGAAAAAAGCAGTGATATAAATTAATATAATTCAATAAATTTTCAACGTTATTTATTAATTTATTAAAATATTTACACGTTTCATATTTTATAGAAAAATATTTAAAAAGCAATATTTTTAACATATTGATCTTTTGTAAAAAAACCCTATTTTACATAAATAATTTTCAAATATTTACACCAAAACCTTATTTTGAATTAATATTAAAATTAATTTTTTTAGTTCAAATAACGTTGAAACATTTCAAATATTTTAACTATAAGAAATACATGTAAATAAACATAAACTACAAAACCAATGTAAAGGTCATTGACCGAACTCTCAAGAAATGCTATTTTTTCATTGTTATAAATAATATGCATACATGGATGTGATCAAATTACATTCTTTGAAATACATTAACTATGCTATAATGCGTAACGCTGCATTCTTATTTCCTTGTGATGAATACAGGATAGAAACCCAACTATCAACTACATGTACTTGCAACAATATCAAATAAATTTCTTGAGTGCAAATGTAAGTTGATTTTTAGAGTTTTTATTTTGATAAGAATGCTATTTTGACCCATTTTAATAAATACTAGATAGTTATTAACAGGATTATGCGATTATTGACCGATTTGATTTCATCATTAATTGGATTTATTGGTTGATGGATTCATATCGATAAAATGTGTTAGTCTTGTTAATAATAGTACGTTTGTTATAAGGTTTTTCAAATAAATATCCAACAGAATTAATTTTAATTACAGTAATCAAAAAAATAGAAATATTTTTTATTATGGACACAAAAGATAATGAAATATATTACGTTCATGTATAGCATTTAAGTATACAAATCTGTACAATTATGTACTCTATTCACGTAAGTTTCTACTATACATATAATTTAATCTTCTCAAACGAAACCATACATAAGTCATATTGAACTAAACTTATCGCATTACTTTATATAAATAGATCGAAATTATTTAGAACATAGAACTAAATAGTTGTTGATAATTAAAATTATAACATACCATAATTAAATTAGTATTCTAGTTTTGTTTAGATTTAGCGTATTTGTTCATTAAACTGTATATAATTGGTAATAATTGAAATCATATTTCTTTAAAACAATGCATGCTAGTCTAAAGAGTTGCATAAGAGCAAAGTTAAGAAGGTTGTATACACAAATCAAAACAAACTGGTGGGTTTGATGTGTGAACCATTTATGTTTAGTAGTGATTCGGTGATGGGATTGGTGTGTTCTTAATATAATTCATATTTTTTGCTTGTTTCTAATTTCAAGCCGGCAAATAAAAGATATGTGTTCGTACTATAAATTTATAATATTAGCAGTAATATTTATTAATATTGCTGAAAGTGCCATAGTTAATGGTAAGGCAAATATTATAAACAATAATAACTATTACACCAATAACAATTATTTTATCGTATATTTTAAATAATCTTAAACAGAATTAAACAATTTCAAACGTTGCAATTACACAAATGCTTCAATGTTTATACAACTTATAAATAAACTCCTACTGCAAATTAACAATATGAGATCATAGCAACATGTGGGATTAATTTAAATGTTTAGAATGCATTTTCTCATTTTTTATATAAAAATATGAATGGTTTATAATTTAAGATGTTATAAAATTGTATTATAAATGAAATATAAATAAATAATAAGTTAAAATAATCAATTAATTGAAAATAATAATGTTTATGTAAGCTGCGGAATTTTTTTTTGGTTTCTAGAAAATACGATTAATGTATGGGTCATGCAGATAATTTTTTTAATCAAGAGGATGTGGCACAGTTCCATTTAAAGACTGTTGCATGTGATGTAATTCACAGATGCTTTGGTTAATAACTTCTGGAACAGATTTGATTACTTTAACGTTATCGCTTATTTGAGTGGTTTAACAAATACTTCGATCAACTTCTTAGTTTCTTTTAAAAACATATTTATTAGAACTTGTAACATTAATAGATTTTATATTATTAGCCAAACTTTATTAACTTACGTGGAGATACGCGATTCCGAAGTAATAAAAGTTTTATTTTTAGACATGCTCTAAATACAATTTGTTTTATGCAGAAACGATGCGATATTTGCAAGATTTCAAAGTAACAGTTTGAAAATTCTTGTTTCATTATTAAATATTTCTAGTGGATTTAGTCTTAATTTTATGTATCACTCAACGGTAGTCACATTTGTTTACACTTAGATATGAAACGAAGACTGTTACATCCTCATAACATAATCATGAAATAATAAATAAATATTGTCGAACATTCGAAAAAGAGAATGGAATAAAAAAATATGGTATTTTATATGTAAATTCATTGAAATTAAATCTGTTGCATGTAATATAATTCACAGATGTTTTGGTTAATTATTTCTGGAGTAGATTTGATTACTTTAACACTTTATGTAAGTGTTCTACCAGAAGAAAATAAGTCGGTTAATGCACTGTCATCAACTTCAGAACAGAAATAGTTTATATTCCAAAGAAGTGAATTGTTTAATGAAACTCCTCAAATTTGATTTCAAATTATTCAACGTTATTAGCTTGGTTGTCGAAATGCATTTGCGAAGTATTGAAATATTTTTAGATTTTCTATAAATACAATTTGTTTTGTGCAGAAATACTACGATGTTTGGAAAATTTCTAAGAAATAGTTAACAAATTCTTGTTACATTATGTAATATTCAAAGTGGTGCCACTTAGCCTTTGGTCTTAGCTTTATGTATCATTAAGATTTGTTTACATTAAGTTTGCTGCATCCACGTAATCTCTATTTCATAATAAATAAAATAATTTATAATTGATTATAGATAATTTAATGGATAATTTAGGTCATTATGATAAATTTTATATAATCCAAGTTTACAAATATTCATATACATACACTCAGTTGTATAATGAAATTAAATGCATAGGAAATGCAAAAGATAAGTTTGTCAAAAAGTATGTACAGAACAGAGATAAATATGAATGTAAATCAAACGGAAATATAACGAGAGAATTGTGGAAGTTCATTGATAAAGCGAACCTGAAAATTCTACAAAGTTTTTTTTTGCTACTGATTATTATCTTCAATTGTATACATATGATATATTGTTATCAAACAAATAAATAAACTGTAAGTAGTAGCACATACATGTGTACCCAACAAATATATTTAAGGTTTATTTACTTATGTTTTAAAGCATTTAAAATTGTAAACACATCGATTATATTTATTTCCTTAATATTAAATATTTTATTTAGCTCTAGTAAATATTATGAAGTTATGTAAATACAAACGTATACAGTATTTCAATTGGAGCAAAACACTTTAGAGACTGATGTTCATGTACAATAAAATTAACACAAGGCATGCGCCAGGTCAGAAATCAATTAGTTATGAACAGCTCAAGAATTAAAGCAGACACATTTATAAGGAATTATTGTATTGTATTTATTGAACTAACTATAAATAAATTCATGTATAAAATATGATTGTTGTAATTACTTTGGATAAAAAAAAATATATATAACATCTCCAAAATAAAACCGGTTTCGAAAGAAATACAGCACACAAGTGGTTAAGAGTAAGAGTTTAAAATTTGTAATTTATTCGTTGATGATATAACAATAGCGTCATTGTAGAGTGCAAGTTTCAACCTTACTCATTAAACAATAAATCATTGCTAATTAAATTTAAAATTATAATTTTACTAATTAATGTAGATTGTAGATGATTTAAAATTGTTTTAAATGTTGTTTTTTTAGAAATAGACTTGATAGAAAAGTTTATGCAACTCCTACTTTATTATAAGCATTTTGACTATCATATTTTTTGTGCTTTAATTAACATTTTTCATTCAATAATTAATTTAAAATTTTATTAAGTAATAAAAAAAGACGGAAACATTGCTTTTTGCAATGGATCATAATGATTGATATTATTATTATTTGAAATAATATATTTATTGTGTTTAGTAATAACCAAATAAATAATTACATTATATACATACACTTATTTTATTTTATTTGTTTCAGATGAAGTTCTAGTCTACACAGTAGCTACTGAAGAAACTGACGGTTTTCAGAGGTATCTACAAACTGCAAGACAATATGGAATATTACCAACGGTATTGGGAATGGGTGAAGAATGGAAAGGCGGGGAAAACATAAGACAACAAGCCGGTGGTGGCTGGAAAGTAAACTTATTTAGGGACGCCTTGAAGAAACAGACAACCGAAGATGATCAAGATAAGATTGTGTTATTCACAGATGGGTAAGTTACCTAACAACATTATTCGATTAAAGGCATAAACATAACATTCTTTTGTTGTAAATTTTCCAGATACGACGTGATCTTCCTGTCAAAAATGCAACAAATTTTGGATGCTTTTAAAAAGACTGAAGCCAGGATTTTGTTCGGCGCGGAATCTGCGTGCTGGCCGGACCAATCTTTGGCGAAAGATTACCCCCAAGTGACACACGGAAAACCTTATTTGAATTCCGGACTTTACATGGGATACATTAGTGATATTTTACAATTACTCGAGCGCGAAACAATCGAAGATGCTCAGGATGATCAATTATTCTTCACGAAAGCATACCTTGATGAAACGTTCAGGAACAAACATAAATTCAAGTTGGATCATAACAGCGAGATCTTCCAAAATTTGAACGGAGCCACAAGTAATATTTAATATCAATATTTTAAAAAAATAAACTAATAATTATTGGTTTTAGGTGAAATTGAAATATACCCTGATGAAGGAAAAGAAAGTACAAATTTTATTGTTAAGAATTTCTTGACACAGACTCAGCCATTGATTTTGCATGGAAATGGACCATCGAAAATAGCGTTGAACGCGTTGGCAAATTACGCAGCTCAAGCTTGGACACCGCAGGAAGGATGTCTTCATTGTAAAGATGGACACATGGACTTCGAGGATACTGCAGATCATAAAATGCCCATTGTCTATCTTGCTGTATTCGTTGAACAGGCCACTCCGTTTTTGACTGAGCAATTGCAAAAAATTAACAGCTTGCATTATCCTAAGAAGAGGATGCATATTTTCATCCACAATAATGTAGCAGTTTTAAAATTTAATTTCATGCTCAATATTAAATCTAATTATTTTTATTGTTTCAGTTAAAATATCATCAGGATTTAATAAAGCAATTCATCGATTTCCACAAGAACGACTATTTGAGCATCAAAGAAGTTAAATCTGAAGATGGAATTAACGAGTGGGCAGCTAGAGATTTGTCTTTGTAAGTTTATATAACTATCCAAATTGTTTAATTTGTTACCTTTTTTAATATTAAATTATTTATTGTTGATGTTTCAGGGATCAATGTTTATTGAAAAACTGCGATTTTTACTTTTCTATAGACGGTATTGCTCATTTGGACAATCCGCACACTTTAAGGCTTTTAATTGAACAAAATAGGACTATAGTTGCCCCACTTTTGGTTCGACCTAAAAAGGCTTGGAGTAACTTTTGGGGAGCCCTGACCACCGACGGATTCTATGCTCGTTCAAATGATTACATGGATATCGTCCACAATACTAAAAGGTAATATTCAATAAGTTACGTTAATCATATAAAATCAATTAAATTTGCAATATTACATATTTTTTTGACCTCAAATTCTGAGGAAAATAGAAAAATATTAATTATTTTATTAATGGTATAAAAAGAATTAGTCTCAAATTCAATACAATACCTTAATTGCTTTCAGTGAGAACGAATTTTTAGGTAATTTTTATTAATTGAAATGTAATATTTTTTATTTAAACATAGAAATACATACAAAAAATATATCACAAATATAACTTATACATTTTATTATGGATTAAATTCCATTATACAACAATTAACAATTACTATACCAATATGGTTTATATAGTAATTTATTTTCAATAATAAGATTAATATATGTGTTTCAATAGATTATCTAATCGAAAGCTATGCTGAAATCAGTTTTGAAAGACCTTCTGTCAATCGAATACATGTTATCAGCGGTGCATTCGTAGACTCCAGCATCCATTTGGGTAGCAGGATCGATCTCCAACTTACTCTTAACCTTATCGGTACCAATATTCCATTCGTGAACCTGAAATTCAAATAAGTAACAATAGGCGATGAGATAATTGTAATATTTATTCTTACATTTAAATATAAATGAGAGAAAATTTCAGCGCCGTCTTTGTACCAAGTGATGTGTGGTCTCGGATTTCCTTTGGCAACACACAAGAATGCAATTTTATGTCCAAGAACGTATTCATAATCGAAATGGGAAGCCAATGTAATCTTTGCACCCTAAAATCGCTAATTATTAATAAATCGTTTATTATATCATTTTATATTACGTTATTGTTATTGTAATATTGATCGGATTCGGGATCTCTGTATTTTCCGGTGATCGGTAAACCTATTTGAAACTGAAAAAATAGTTGCCGTTAATTGGATTCTGCAATTTTCGACTTAATTTGCTTACTTTAGACTTGGTTCTCGACCTGGTCCTTCCTCTGCGCGCTTGAACATCGTTAATTATCAACACAAACAGAAGTAAGAGAAAATACTTGTGGATGTACATTTTGAGGAGACGCGAACCGGTCGCTGTTTGGATCGTTTGGAAATGTGGATGTGTACTGCAGATCCCTTTTCAAACAATTGCAGTGAATTGGTCTCAATTTAAAATAAATGAGTACAAAAGGGAACGCGTTTATTGATATGCCTTTATCAAAACTATTTTACTATTAAGCAGAGATTTAAATGCGCTGGAATTGTCCGTCCGTTTAAAATCCTATTTAGGAAATGAAGTTGTTTTTTTGTTAGAGCACGCAGGGCGCGTATACAAATAAGGGATCAACATTTATTTTTCATTTGATACAATTAGTAAGCCACCATAACGTAGTCGGTGCGAAATCCGCGGATGTCGATGGCGTATTTGTTATTCGCTTGGCACTCGTAATATCCGGCATCTTTCTGTGTCGTCGGGTCTATTTCCATTTTGCTCTTCATCGTGTCATTTCCTATTGGCCACTCGTGCACCTAAAATTACTCATATCTAACTATTTTTCAGTATGGTAACAATTTTAATTTATATATTCACAATTAAAACTACAATAGTTTTTCTATTGAATTAATTAAATTAATATTAAATAATACATATAAAAGTTTCTAACAAAAGTAATATAGTCACCATTGTCGATTTATTCAGTACCTGAAAGAATTTATGGGCATAAAGTTCGATACCATCCTTAAACCATACGATTTCAGGTCTGGGATATCCTAAAATAAAGAAACTTATTTGCGTTATTTCGATGAGTAAATAGTATTGTTGTACCTTTAGCCATGCAAAAGAATGTGATTTTTCTTCCTAACATGTAATCCAATTCGAAGTGACTTGCCTTTACAATTTTCGCACCCTAAAATATCAAATAAATACTAGTGCAATTAAACAGAAAAGGAAGTATTTTACATCTTTGTTATCATAGTAACTCGCTGCAGCCGGATTTCTGTGCTGAATAATGACGGGCATTCGGGAATTGTAGATCCTTCCTCGAGCTCTTTGTTTCCCTGAAATATAATCCAATTTAATTAAATTAAGTAAACACTGTAAGTTGATTCCTTGTAATTTATTACAAATAATAGCGTTGCTTGCAGAAAGCCATCACGGAAATCTCTTTCATGTGATAAGTAAATGCTATAAGCTAGTATTTATTGATAGACGAGTCGCAATTTTGCAGCGGAACTTTTTATAATTTGTAATCACTTACCTCTGCCCCCTCCTCGTGCTGCTTGTGTCGCATTAAGGCAGATTATAACAATGCAGATAATTGCAAAATGCTTTGTGTTCATTCTTCTTTCACTATTGAAAAGATATTTTCTGCTCTTTGTCCCAATGGACATTCATCAGTAAGCCTCCTTTGATACAGCGTCAGCAGATATTTGCATTGCACGCACTCGTTCGATATTTACAGTTTTGTTTTCGAGAGCGTGAATTATTCTAGGGACCTAATATAATAATTGCCTTTTTGAATTCAAATAGGGGTCAATGTTAAGTTACTCAACAAGTAATATTCATTGAATTATTTGTCTTATGCTTATTTAAACGACGCTACATCCTTGCATCTTCAATGTGCACATCACTGCATTTTTCTACTTAAACTTTATGTACAATAAAAAAATAGTTTTAGTATTTTATATTTATTAGTTTTATTAATTAGTTATTTATTGTATACAATTGTTTCAGAGGATTATGGAATGTACCATTCATTACAAACTGTTACTTGGTGAATGCCACGCTTTTACGCAAATACGATCGCACGAAGATACATTATTCCAGAGGAAATCTTGACGCCGATATGGCCTTCTGTGCAAATATTCGCGATTTAGATATTTTCATGTATGTTTCCAACCGAATTGACTTCGGCCATTTGATCAATCCAGAATCATTCGACACAACACTGGCTGTACCCGATATGTATCAGATTTTCGATAACCAGCAAGATTGGGAAGAACGTTATATTCACAAAGAATACCCAGAAGCGTTTAACGTCGAGAAGAAACCTAAACAGGTACATTTTTCAACATTCTCTTTCTTATACAAGTTCTGCATTTTAATTTATTTTTAGCCATGTCCAGATGTATATTGGTTCCCAGTGGTAACCAGAAAATTCTGCAATGATTTAATTCAAATGATGGAATCCTTTGGAAAATGGTCAAGTGGCACTAATGATGATAATAGGCTGCAAGGCGGCTACGAGGCAGTTCCCACACGTGATATTCATATGAATCAAGTAGGCTGGGAACCACACTGGTTGTACTTTTTGCAGCAGTACATTCGCCCACTCCAAGAATTAGTATTTACTGGATATTTTCACGATCCTCCGCGTTCCATGATGAATTTTGTCGTTCGTTATCGCCCTGATGAACAACCTTCCTTAAGACCACACCACGACAGTTCGACGTACACAATTAATATTGCCTTAAATGAGATAAACGTTGATTACGAAGGTGGCGGCTGCAAATTTTTAAGATATAATTGCAGTGTTGTAGATACTAAACCTGGATGGGTTTTAATTCATCCAGGTAGACTAACTCATTTCCATGAAGGATTACTAGTTACTAAAGGAACTAGATATATTATGATTTCTTTTGTCGACCCATAAATCTTATTAAATCTTAGAAATGTTGTCCACTGAACACAAATATGGAATTGAAATTGTATATTCAATAACTTTTAGTTTAATCATTTTTACGTCTTATTTTCAATGAACTTTCTTATTGAGCAATAATACTTAATTAAATTTAGTTACACTCTTATATATCTTGATGTACTATTTGTAAGTTTAGAAACAAAATAAATGTTTTATATTTTATTAACATATAAATAAAAGAATCTTCTTTAATTAATTATTGTTTAATTATCGTATTATGATTTTTTTTCTTCCTCCTGCTTCTTCCCTCTAGGAAGAGATCTTGTATAAAAGTACGTTATATTACTTTGCAGGTAGTGCTGTTTGTTGGGTAGTATAGTATAAGGATAAGGTAAATATCTGTAAAATTTGGTTTCTCTCTAGACCAGGTTCAAATAAATGACATTTCCATTCATTTTATTTGTGGCCGGAATTAGTGAAAACAAATAGATTTATTTTTAAAATATTTATAGAATTAAAACATGAATTAATTGGTACAATTATAATCCCTACATATGGAGCATTTACTAAGAGGAAAGTTTGGGTACGAAATGATTTATATAATATTACAGTTATAGGTTAGCTGTCAAAAATAGGTTATTGAATTTTGTTCATAATTGTGAATAAAATTGCTAAAACTTACATAAGTTCACTTATAATAGCACAATTTCTTCTATAATAATTATTAGAATTAATGTCATTTTAATAAGTTATTCAAATTGATATTTCAGACGAGTAGTTATTAGTTCATACAGAAATAATCCATTAAAATATGGACCTGCTGGTTATACAAGTCGGAGTATTGCCACATTATGGGCAGGAAGGGCTCTGGACAGATCAAAACCTTTGTTAAAGTCTCAACAGTTTCAAGAAAGAAGAAAATATGGAATGCTGGTTGTTAGGGCTTTAAGAGGTGTACTTAAAATAAGATATCTTCTTCTTGGTGGAGCTCTTGGAGGTGGTGTTACATTGCAGAAAGTATGTAGATTTTTGTTGAAGTGTTATCATTCCATTTTCACTCCTTTCTATATAGAAATATCAAGACTGGAAGGAGGGGCTTCCAGATTTGAAATGGCTGGAAGATGTGATGCCAGATAATGTTAAATGGCAACAGTTTAGAGGATCTTTAATACAGCTAAAGGATTCTGTTAAAGATAACATTGAAATTGGTATGTTCATTATTACATTTCTCATAAAACTTCATAGATGTAGAATATTTTAAATAACTGCTTTAATTAGTTCAATTCTTATCTTCCATTATAGTAACTCATATATACTATTTCATTAAAAAACATAAATTATAGTTTGCATTTCATTCTTATTGTTTACATACAAATTATGTGATTTATAACTGATGATGCGTTTTTATTTGTGACTGTGAAGATCCACGTTTGAAGTCTTTATCCGAGGCTAAATATAAGGAATTTCGTTCATGGTTTGATCAGCGATTAGATGACGCTATTGCAGCTGCAGAAATTAACAATCAAAATGGATCCCTTGCTATTGAAGGTGTGTATGTTTTAGTGCATCACTTGGGTACAATCTTCTTTTTTTAAATTTATTTATAGGTGCCTTCTCCAGCATTTCACAATTTCTAGACAGACTGTACTCAGGTATGATGTACCATTTGTATATTAGTTTGTTTGTATTGTTTCCCTTCATATCTTTGTAGTTACTTTTAAAGTAAATTTGTTGCATTACAATTACTATAGTATATTAAACAAATATTAGTCACAAATGTTGTGTAAATAAATATTTATAAATGGTTTCTGTATTTTTTCATTAGAAACCAAAGATGAAATTAAGGAAAAAACGGTGGCGTACGCCCGTCCTTTTGCACAACCAAATGTTGATGAAGCTGCGAGGAAGGAAGCCCAACAAAGGCTTGATGGTTTGCAGGATGAAATGATGCAAACTCAGATTAAGTACCAACGAGAGTTAGAGCGGTTGGAAAAGGAGAACAAAGAATTAAGGAAGCAGAATTTATTGCTGAGACAAGGCCGCAAACCACCGACAAGACAAGTTAAACGCAGTTTAATTGGTAAATTTAAGCTTTAATTAGAAGCTTTAAATAATGGTTTAATGTTTATTAATATTTAGATATGTACAGTGAAGTCTTGGATGAATTGGCTGATTATGATAGTGGTTACAACACAGCTGATCAACTGCCAAGAGTTGTGGTTGTGGGTGATCAAAGTAGTGGAAAAACATCTGTACTAGAAATGATCGCACAGGCTAGAATTTTCCCAAGAGGAGCCGGTGAAATGATGACAAGGTTAATTTCAATTGCGTAATTTTATATTTTTATTTCTATACATTTTATTATAGAGCTCCAGTTAAAGTTACTTTATCCGAAGGGCCTTACCATGTCGCCCAATTTAGGGATTCTTCTCGCGAATTTGATCTTTCGAAGGAAGCGGATTTATCTGAATTACGAAGGGAAGTTGAACTTCGAATGAGGAACAGCGTGAGAGGTGGAAAGACAGTGTCCAGCGATGTGATTTCAATGACCGTCAAAGGTCCAGGTCTGCAACGCATGGTTTTGGTTGACTTGCCCGGTATCATTTCAACTCAAACCACTGACATGGCTTCTGATACTCGCGAAAGCATTAAACAAATGACCCAAGCATACATGAGCAACCCAAATGCTATTATTCTTTGCATCCAGGATGGCGCTGTTGATGCGGAAAGAAGCAATGTCACTGATTTGGTAGCGCAGTGTGATCCATCCGGAAAACGAACTATCTTTGTACTAACTAAAGTAGATATGGCAGAACAAAACTTAGCTGATCCAAATAGAGTAAGCCCGGATAATTTGATTGGACAACAAATAATATACAATTTCTTTTAATATAGATAAGAAAAATTTTGTCAGGAAAATTATTCCCGATGAAAGCTCTCGGCTATTTCGCAGTCGTTACTGGACGTGGTAGAAAAGACGATTCCATACAAACCATCAAGGATTACGAAGAAAATTTCTTCAGAGGTTCAAAACTATTCAAGTAATTTTTTTTTAATAATTTACGTATAAATGATAATAACTGTGATTGTAGGGATGGCTTAGTTAAATCCACCCAAGTAACAACTCGAAACTTAAGTTTAGCTGTCGCAGACTGTTTCTGGAAGATGGTCCGCGAAACAGTAGAACAACAAGCCGATGCTTTTAAAGCAACCAGATTCAACTTGGAAACAGAGTGGAAAAACAATTTCCCAAGGTTGAGGGAGCAGGACAGGGATGAATTGTTCGAAAGAGCACGCACGGAAATTTTAGACGAAGTCGTGAACTTGTCGCAAGTTAGTCCGAAGCAATGGGAAGATTGCTTGTTAAATAAGATTTGGGATAAAGTTTCTGGACATGTCTTTGAGAGTATTTACTTACCAGCCGCTCAAACTGGAACTCAAGGTATACTATAACCTTAAACATTATTTTCATAAAATAATATTGATTGTTTCAGAAACGTTCAATACATCTGTCGACATTAAGCTTAGGCAATGGGCGGAGACTGCATTGCCAGCTAAATCTGTAGAATCCGGATGGGAGACGTTACAAACAGAATTCCAACAATTTATTGATAAGGCGAAGCAAACGCCAAATCATGATGATATTTTCGATATGCTGAAGGGTGCAGTTATAAGAGAGGCTATGTCCCGTCATGTCTGGGAAGATAAAGCAGCTGAAGTATTAAGAGTCATACAATTAAATACTCTTGAAGATAGGACTGTAAGCGATAAACGTGACTGGGACCAAGCTGTGAAATTCTTAGAGTCTAGTGTCAAAGATAAGCTGAAAGAAACAGAAACAGACTTAATGCATTTGTTGGGCCCATCGACAAAAGAACGTTGGATGTATTGGAAGTACTTATCTGAAGAACAGAGTAAACGCAATTCCGTTAAATCAGAACTGGATAAGATCATTTACTCTGATGATAAACATCCACCTACGTTAAGTTACGATGAACTTACTACTATTAGGAAAAATCTTCAACGAGGTAACATCGATGTAGATAATGTGTTTATTCGTGAAGTTTGGAATCCTGTCTATCGTAGACACTTCTTGAAGCAATCATTAACTAAAGCGTACGACTGTAGACGCGCTTTCTATATGTATCATCAACAAATGGACGTTGATTGCGGTGATGTTGTTTTATTTCATCGTATACAGCAAATGATGAAAATAACTTCGAATGCTTTAAGACAGCAAATCATGAATAGAGAAGGTATGAATATACAGTATATATTTCTATGACTAATCATAATACGAAATATTTTTTTAGCACGCCGATTAGACAAGGAGATTAAGGAAGTTCTAGAAGATTATAGTCAAGATAATTCAAATAAGGAAAAACTACTAACAGGTCGAAGAGTGGTTCTAGCAGAGGATTTAAGTAAGAATGCGTTACTTATAAAAGTACTTAATTTATTATGTAATTTTCTTTTTTCTAGAACGAGTGCGTCAAATTCAAGAAAAATTAGAAGAATTTATTCAGGCCTTAAACAAGGAGAAGTGAACCTAGTCCATTATATTTTTTTTTATGTTATTTGGTTTATTTTTATCATATACAATTTATTTCGCTTATTATATTTTAATAATTTAATCATCATATAAACTTTTCTATTGAATACAAAAATCGAAAACTATTTTATTTTTTGGATTGTATGTGATAAACTTTCAATAATGTCTACTGTTTATATAATATGCAATTATTCTGTCAAACAGTTAAAACAAATGTTGTTATAAATTAAACAATACACTTTGGAGTTACTCTAATAACTGGAAATTATCGAATTTTTCTGTATCGTAAAATGTAGCTTTCACTTGTCGACCTCCAAAGAATCTCCCATTCAAATCGACGACAGCCTTTATTGCGCTTTCAATACGATTAAATTCTACAAATATCCGAACAGCATCTTCTGGTAGCTGATCTTGTAATTCGTGAATTACAACGCTGCCCACATCTCCATATTTAGTATTACATTCGTCTTTAACTTCAGGCTCCAAATCGTCGTCCACTTCACCTGGTCCTACCATGTTTCTCAAGAGAACAACCTGAAAACCAATGATATAATAATGTTTTAAACAATTTGATTAACAATTACCTTGCTTGGGGTTTTCATAATTTCTGTAATAGTTGGTTCTTCTGGTGATTTTTGAGGTGGAGGTGGTGGCATCATCATCTCTTTTTCATGTATAATTCTTCCACCACGTTTCGAAGTTTTCTCAACCTGCAGAGCAACTGACATGCCCTGTTCTTGTTTTCCCAACCCTTGTCCTTCTTTAAAACCATATTTTGCCATGATTTTAGCTGCCACTGAACCACCTCCATAACTAGTAGCTGGCTGAGGTGACAACTGAGATGGGCCTGGAGGTGGTGTTCTGTTTGGTGTACTTGGTCCCTGCTCAGCAGGTTCTTGCAAACTTGGTGGAGGTGCTATAGCTACACCACCACCTGATCTTGAAGGTTTTGGACTTGGTTCCAAGTGTTCCTCTTCATCCTCCCATCGACCTACAATTAATTAATGTTAATCCTTGTAAAATAATCTTCTATTATAATATATCTAACCAGCAAAACCACTTGGATTAGGTGGTAAAGACACTTGAGGAGTACTGGAAGGTGATGCATCTTCAGGATCATTGAACCTGCTCTTCTTTCTTCTATCTCTTTCCCTGCGTTTTTCTTCTTTCTCATACTCTCTATCCCTATCTCTGTCTCTATCACGATTATCTCGAATTTCTTTAACAATTTTCTCATACTCGTTTGGCCATAATGGATCATACTCATCAATAACATTCCAATCCAAATCATTTTTTAAATTAGACGGTGGTAGAATAACTGGCAAAACTGGTTCAGGTTTTGATATTCCATATATATCCTCTTCATCCCTTTTTGTTTTCAAGTCAATCACTGGTGGTAAACTTACTCTTTTTTGGACATCTCTTTTAGGTTGAGTTACAGCAGCCTTCTTTAATTGCAACTGTGATTGTAGCAATTTTATACCTGATGACCAACCGGAAACGTTCTCTGTTGTTCGTGTTTTCACATCTAAATCATCGTACAGCGACATTCTGTTAATAAATAACTTAATACACACAAATTCAGTAAAAATATGTAATTGTTTTCACTGAACTGTTTTGACGTGAAATAAAGGTTAGGTTAAATATTTCCTGAAGATATATTATGCTGCAACTTTATGTACAGTAATGTAATGATTTGCCTATAAAGTTTGTAATATATTTACATGCCTGTATCACGAAAATCTGATACGAAAGGTCGTTGGTTCGATTCGCAAAAAAACAACAAAAATTTGTGGTGGCTGTTAAACCCGAAAGGGGTAGAGATAAGGCCGGAAGAGATGTATATCAATAAATAATAAAAATTTCTTTTAAAAAAACATATTTACATCATGATTACAAAAACAACAAAAATATTTTAATTATCTTCTAAGTGCGTTTTAATGCATTTTAATTAAATATAAAGAAATTAGTAGTTTAAGAAGAAATTTACATTAAGATAATGTTTTCATTTCACAAAGGAATAATTGAACTTTCAATTATTTAAAGATTATTATAAAATATTATTCACATATTAGAGTATTATTAATACTAATATTTTTATTATAATTATCCTATTGCACATTTTTGCAATATTTTAAATTATAATTAATAATATGTAACAAATATTACTAATGAATTTATTTGGATATAGATTTAACTGGATATAGAATTTCGGGTTATTTCCAGAACATAAATTATATTTCGATAAAACTACAACATAAAGGGTGAAGTGTATTGGTTAGAACTTATCAAATAGAACTTTTAATAAAGTATTAAAAGCATAGATTATTACGAGTTACTAAAAATAAAAACCAGTGCTATAATAGTATGAATCAATACTGCATATTATATTATTTCTGAAGAGGAAACTTTTTTCAAGGTTTTCCTCGTTTAGTTCAAAATAATAATATTTGTTTTAAATAAATACAATAGTAGGTAATTTTCTTCAAGATTTTGATATTGTAAGAAAGAGTCTGGAGAGTTTATCATTTAACGTGGAAATTTTGAAAGAAATCTCTTTGAATTTGAAACTTCAATACATATGCTATATTTCATACTTACGCGAAAACTTTATATTGTGTACCAAAGTTTAAACAATTAATAAATATTAATTTTGTTAGACAATGGTGAAGGAAAATGTTCTTTATCATAGTGAAACAGTAGGGAATTCTCGAAACCCTTAACCTATACCAAGAATGTAACACCTGCACAATATATAGCGCACGCAAGCGCAACTTTACAAACGGCCGTATCGAAGCTGAATTTACTGGCATATATCGCGACGTCGCGACGCTTAGTGGACGGTGAACGTGGTTCATATGCGTGCGGTCAAAGAAGATCGCAAATACGAACGTTTCCGCTGCATCTAAAAACCACAATTTATGTTTTTTTTTTGGCAATGCAAGAACTAACAAAGTTTCTTTGAATGGTGAGACTTTGTAACATTTTATCGAGGCTAGTGTTTAATTGTATCGTTTTTATAACGTAGTAACAATTAGAAATGTTTGTTCAAGATTGGTGAATCTTAAAATTTTGAAATTGCGAGATGACAAATTCGACAGGTGGCTCGAAAGCAAAATGTAGTAGTAATTATGCGAACGAGATGAATCCATTTGTTAAATTTTAAGAAGGCGAAAAAATAAACGAACTTAAGCAGTGAACTTAAAATGGATGTGAACATTAACGATACGTTAAACCTGAACGAGACTAATTTATTCAGCAAGGTGATCATATACAAGAATGCAAACAGAAATGCGGACGACGCAACAGAAGCTTCCAATGATTCCGGATCGAAAGAATTTAACAACTGGTGGGCTCTATTGGCGCTGGTTCTTGTGATCGGTACAGCCGCCGGGAACATTCTTGTGTGCCTGGCCATCACCTGGGAGAGACGTTTGCAAAATGTTACCAATTACTTCCTAATGTCATTGGCAATTACGGATCTGATGGTTGCTATCTTAGTTATGCCACTGGGTATCCTTACTCTTGTCAGAGGTGAGTTTAATCAATTTATTGGATTAACAATATTATGAGCTCTGGTGCACGGTACGTTTAACCTACTGTCGTCGATGATTCGAAAAGGTTACACTTTATTATATATTGCCATTTGACTAATTGATGACAGGCCATACCATTAAGCCGTCGGGAAGAGTAAAATCTTTCTGAAACCCGAATTAATGATTTTTAAATGAAGGAAAATATTATAGGATCTTATTATATTTCCGTCACATAATATATATTGTCGCTCGACAATAGCAGCTTTCCGAAAATCCTTCTTACAAGATTGATGACAAATAAAACACACATCGATTTTCTAACTAATTTTTCGCCAAGAAAATAATGAAATTTCAATTATTTATTGTTCAGAAATCATTAATTGCAATTACATTTATTTGTATGAAACTAATACCGTTAAATTGTATCCAAATAAAATTAAAAATACTAAATTTTAAATTAAATTTAGGAGTTATTCAATTGTGCGATAATAAAGGAATAATTGAAATAATATAAAATTGTATAAATAATAATATTTATTGTGTACACAAAATCTATAGAGAATTGACTGTTTCCACGTTGACAGTATATATTAATTCATTTTATTTAAATCAAAGTTTTACCAGTAAAACAAAAATATCAAAAGTATTTTCTGCAAAAATATTTCGTTTTTGCTGCAAATTAAAAATAAAATCTGTCAATACATTTGAATTTTCAATATTAATTAAACTATAAATGATAGTACAAAATTTTAGTTTTACTCTTAGTAATATAAGAATATATAGGAACACAGATTTCGGCTTTGAATGAACAAAAAAACATTTTGTTGAAAAGTAACAAATACAAATTAAATTATTTAATGAATAGAATATTATAACTGTAACTCATTAAATATGATCAAAATAAAAGGAGAAATATTAAATAATATTTTTTGTTGTACTCATACAAATATATTAATTTTTCGCCTTTAATAATTACAGTAAATAAAATCTTTATTACCAAACATAAAACATGCAGAACAAAGAATTCCTTTTGCTCCATTCTTTTTTAATGTACGCTCTGAGAAAACGGAAACAGGTGTCTTTTTTTTACAAAGAATTTTGTTTTAACATAGTATTCACCGTGCAAAAGTATATTATTATAATATTCATTCTTTGGATTAGTTTATAAAGAGACTATATTAATTTATTGCAACAATAATAAATATAAATAAATAAAAATTAAATTTAATCTACTTTTTTATGGATTATTTAAGTAGTTGTCATTTTGAGTTTAGTTGGACTAAACGATTTTCTCTGTATTTCGTTATAATTTTATTCTGCAGTTAACAAACTCCACAATATTACGAAACACAGCATTGCTATTAAACAATACATTTATTCAAAACTACGTGGGCGCAATTTCATCTGTTTTACCACAAAATTGCCGACTTATTTGCAAGAAATTGCATGATCCAATTATGATTCTTCTTTCATTGAAAGATTAAACAAGTGTGTGTGTATCGTCGATGCTTGTACGTAGCGTAGCACATGATGTTAAGGTGATTTACGGTGACACCGATTTTGTGGTAGTGAATTTCCAGGTGAAGGCCCTAAAGGAGAGCGTGAAATTGGCCACGGGCGCTCGGATTTGCGAAGCTTACACTAATAACATGACGAGAAATAATTGTTTTAAGGATGGAAGAACAACAAATCCTTATTATACCAAAAATTTGGTTCGAAAAGGAAGAAAAGGAGAGTGAAATCATATTGGAAAACGATCCCATTCACAGCCTGTTGTGTTGAACGTTTCATTTTTATTTAGGCTGGAATTCATATGAAAAATTAAAAAGGGCTACAGAAGGGCGTTTGGGTCGCTTTCGGCGAGGGTGGATGTTAATAAAAACTTGCGTCTTACCCAGCGTATTGACAGTTAAAAATAATTTAGTACCTTTCTCCCTCGCAAAATAATAGAATATGTATTTGCTTTCTTTCGACACAAATAAATCGATAGGCGTGGAATAAAACATTACTATCGACGCTCTTCCTTCGGCTTGATGTTACTAAATTATTGCTTAGTCGGTGCATTCGATTTACTTTCTATAAGAAATTATACATATTAAACACTTAAAGATACAAGACTTAATTGATTGAAACAATTTGTATCTCATTATTAAATTGATTCATAGCATAAACATACACAAGTGGATATCACATACTCAACTAATATTCAACAATAAACAATGAATTACCAACATATTGTAAGTTTTCAAGAAATTATTAATAAATGGAAACTGCTAAAAATAGGTTTAAATTACATGCAAAAATTATACAACAATACAATTTGTTACATTTATAAAAGTGTGAAATAAAAACACATGTATCATTGCAATAATTTAAGTAGTATTTAACAAATATTTATTAGTAAATCAAATGGACGTAGGCTCGTTCAAACTAAAGGAGATCACGGCGTTGTATATAATTGGGTTCATAGCACGTTGAGACATCATCCATTTACTCGGAGCACGCGAAATGACCCATTTCACATGATGTAGTGAGAAAACACTTCTTGTCTTGAAAAGCCTCAAGTGCTATGTACTCAGGCAATTACAAGAATTTATATGAATAGATCTTAATTATCTTAACAAGTACAATAATTTTGTATAAAAAGTTATCAAATATTATTGTTATTATGAAAATAAACAGAAATACTCATGTAAATTACATATTTAATTTATAAAATTTCACATTAACCATATTTATATAAAGCTGCATTTTTATTTACAAATTTAAAGTTTGCTTAAGCAACGCTTTTATTTTAATTAATCCCAGGTGAATATCATGACTGGAGTTGCATAGCGAATTGGCGACGTATCCTTTTTGACCAATTTAAAAGTTTGCACATGCATATAATACTAATTTCGAAATTGCTGTGAATTACTGCAAAATTTAATTACACACTTTTTAATTTGAGTTATTATTTATTTGCTTTTAATATGACTCGATTAACAAATCTTCGACAATTTAAAAATGTGGATAAATACGTGTGGATACATCATAAACCCTTTCTAGCATAATTAAAAAAAAGTTTCATTCAATTATTTATAATAGCATTTCTTTAATAAGAAAAAACATCTAACCTGTTTTATTACCTACTGTTAAAAATATAACTAGCTTCAATTCACATTAGTTGCTTCCAACAGTTAAAATAGTCGAAAGACAAAATTGATTTTAAAATTATTAATTCCATTTGGAATCACTAAGTTCGAAAGGGTTAAAAATCAAAATTGAAAGTAATCAAAGGATTAAGTATATATGAATTGGAATTATCGATGTTATATTATATACATTTAAGCAAAGGAAAATAATTAATGAAATAAAAATGAAATCCGCAGCAATAAATCAGAGCTCATTAAGTCTCGCCTCGCAAAGGAGATTTATTGCTGTAGCCTTTTTTTTTGCAAAGCGCAGGATGATTATCGTCTCTTAAAAAAAGCTGGGATTATGTAAGGGGTGGTGGATTCATTTCCAGTTTTCCTTTTGAATTCTCGAATAAGTTGGTGCTGCTGTTCGAGCCATTTATCATCCGATTTAGTATGGATCAAATAATTCCACGTAATCGAGGTGACGTTAATATTAGAAAAAGGTCATTTGGATAGTTTACATGTACGTGGAAATACGATATTCTAAATAGGTGCATTAAATTCCAATCCATAGAAATGCATTTAGTTCCTATACGTCCATCGATTTCTATTTAGGTATTATTTAGTTAAATGAGTATATGCGAATGGCAATGAGATTATTATGGAGAATGTGTCAATTATGTTGTTATTGAATAACTTGAAATTCACTCTATTGATAGAACCTCGATGCAAGTTACATTATTCGAGTTACATAATAAGCAAATACTGTTTCGTGTTTGCTTGTCTCCTTCGGAAATGACATATTACAATCAACAAAAACAAATCGATGTAAAAAAATAACAGTGTAATAATAAATTAAAATTATGTATAATAAAAACATTTAAACAAATCAGTATAGAATATTTTTACTACATATTGCCTCAGAGTTTCTCAACCTTTTTGCATCGCGTCCAAACATATTTGTTGGCAGTTATGCAACGACCCAATTGTTAAAAGTACATTTTACATCCATAGGTTGAGAAATGATGTTATAATTCATTTATTTATTATGTATTAACAAAATAATAGTTTGTTGTGAATTATTATTATGTTTAAATTAATGTATAATTAATATATTAAATGAAATACAAATAAAAACAATACTTTTCAAATCTATATAAATAAATAATATATGTTAATAATATTATAATAGCTTTTTAATGTATTTTCAACTGAGTTTTGTACATAATAAATTTCATAAATATAATATTTATTATCATTTGGAATCTATTTTGTAAGTTTCTAATGTCATGCAATATTTATTTACAAACTAAATATTGATGTAACGGAAGTAAACGTCATAGAATGTAGTGTTAAGAATTACATGACTACTCAATAAGGCAATGGCACTTAGGAGACATAAATAGAGACTCAATTAATTTTACTTCTTGGAGAAACAGGACGTTTGAGGATCGTTTGGGATTAATCAGTGGGACAGCATAATAGCCCTTTTAGGCCACGGTCCTAAGGGAAAGCGCTTTTATCAAATGAAAAGGAAAAGAAACTCATTTCGTGGTAGTTTCTATAAATCTCGTTCCTATTCGAAAAGATGTGAATAAACATAGTTGTATTCAATGATAAATATCCCAGGTGCAGTGGTGAAAGTATACACGTTTTTGTTAATTACTTTATAGATAAAATTGTTTTCTTTTAATGCTAATACTATTAAATAGGTCGAGTGGAATTGTAAGAAAATGTATTATTTTATTGATGTTCGGAACGTGCCAAATGCTCCGATAATGATCATGATTTATTTTTCCACGTATGTTTTGATGAATATGATGTTGGTATGAAAATATTAATACAGTTATTTACAAATAGTGGTGACGTAACGAAGTGG